AACAAAATGGTTTCAGATTATGTTCAGCAATAATAATATACATATATATATATATATATATTTAGCAATTTGATGTCATCAATTAAATTAGACTGTCGTCTTCATTAAAACCACCATGTTGCTTTTGAATTAAACAACTATGTATAAATCTAGTATATATTATAGATGTCAAAAAGTACGCCATACATGCCTATAAGTTACATAATACTTGAAATAAATAAAAATAACTCGTGTCTCAGTTTTTACAATACAAATATACAATAGAAATTATTAACAATTGTTACTTATTACCATTTTATTAAGTAATTTTGATATTGTTTTTTATGATTAACAAAAAAATTTTTGTTGATTATTTCTTTTTTAAAAAGTCCCACTTTTGCCGAATATCAGTCAATCCATCGATATGATCGATATTATAATTACCGGTGCTGTGTAATGTCTCTAAAAACGACTTGATTTTGTGTAGTAACTCAGGCATAGGATGGTGTGAGTGTGTAGACATTAACCGGTTAAAAAAATTAACAGTTTAATGGTTAATTTAACCGGTTAAAATTAATGGTTAACCGGTTAACCGAAGGCTTTAACGGTTAGCTGACCGATTAAAGAATTTTTAAACGGTGCCAATCTCTAAATAAAATTTAGCAAATATGCAAAGTGAAGTGCTAGCAGGTGGTCATCTTGGTATTTCATCCACTGACAGAAAAAAAAATAGAGATCCTGATGCATAAAATTCCTTAATTTTTTAGTAAAAACGTAATTTGAACAGATTAACAGATTAACAGATTATGAAAGAGCAAACGAATAGTATCATTTCGATTATAATTGGAGGTTTTTTAAAAGAATTTTTTTTCATCAATATATAGTAATAATAATAGAAATATCTCGATGCAACATAAATTTGGTTCGAAAACCGGATTATTAAAAAACTTTACCCAATTTTTTACCATTTTAGCATATAACTATAGTTGTTCCCAAAAATACAAATGGGAAAACTATACTTGTGGACGAAATTTTCAAAAGTATTTTCAACAAACGATACAAAATACCAAAAATCACATGATGTTTCTAAGTGCTGGATATTCTAGAACTTGTGCTTTACTTAAAGGGGAATGAAACATGGTCTTATGCTGATTTTTGAACTTCCACCGTGGTATAATTCTCATATAAGTATGCTTTTCAGACGAATGGATTGCTCTTAACAGCACCTGGATCTGTAGATTTTTATTCAAAGCAAAAGAGATTAATCCAACAAATTTGCGAGTAATGTATCTTTATATTTTGTTTAAGAGAGCTCTTACGTGCTTTTATCCAGATTAAGATTGTTGGTTTTCGTATCAACTCAAGCAATGGATTGGTGAAGTTCCATCTGCTTTTATCCAGATTAGGAGTATTGCTCTCGTCCCAGCCACCACTATTTACGACCGAATTATTTGACTTATTTTTTCTACTGGCTTAATTTTTTACTTTTGATGGAAATAAGCATATATTCACATTTATATTTCTATTCAATGGGTCAAAACTGAGCATGCAAATAAGAGGTTTCAGGTATATTGGGAAGAACTGATTTATGAACAGAAAAAAGCTTTGCAGATTTTTATCCTGGTAGTGACGTTTATGCAAATGGTGAATTGTTATTATGAACAACTAACCTCATATTTTGTAAAACAGATGTACAAATGACTTTGAGAGTGATGTAACTTACGTGCATGATTTCTTTTGTGGTGAATTTACTTCGGCTTCGCCAGTTTCATTGAAAGCTCTAGATAATTCCTAGAGGTTATTTTTTGAAAGTTTTGTCTGCCAGCAACACAATGCAAATCCATACTGTTCATAAGATGTATCCGGTTTAATGACACTCCCTGGACAAAAGTATCCGGACACCTGTTTTTACTAATTACACAAAAACGCGCATAATAACTACACATAAAATTTTATCAAAATGTAGCTTAGATTTTGATGAATATGCATGTAAATTTTGATACTCTCAAAACGTCTAAAAAAATTTTAATTAAAATAATCCGAAATTCGACGAAAATTGCAATATCAATTTTTGTTTCTCAAATTTACTCAAAATCCTACATAATAATAAAAATAAAATTTATATCGATTTATAGCTTAGATTAACTAGAATATGAATACAGAATTTTGTAATTTTGGCTAGCATAGATAATTAATAATAAAATTAAAAAATTGGTAATTAAAATCGGATTTATAAAAATCAAGGTTGTCAATTTTTTTTAATCTTAAAAACGTAAAAATGCAAAAAAACGAAGAGGAAAAATTTTGTGCCTTCATGAAGGTACCTAATTGACCCTCACAACCCTCAGATCTTAATCCAGTTGAACATCTTTGGAGTGAACTAGGGAGGCGATTAGATAAGTGAACATAATACCCAAAAAATGCCAACGAGTTGGAAGCTGCATTACAAGAAGTGTAGTCAACGAACTCCATATGAAACTTACTACAAATTAATAGAAAACATGTCTAGAAGGATCGAGACATGCATTTCTAGCGATGGGTGGCCGACTCGATATTAATATTAAGTTTTATTTCATTTTTTTTATTTACATAAAATAAATATTTTGTTGATCATCATCATTTTCGTCGAGTTTCGGATTATTTTAATTAAAAATTTTTTAGACGTTTTGAGAGTATCAAAATTTACATGCATATTCATCAAAACCTAAGCTACATTTTGATAAAATTTTATGTGTAGTTATTATGCGCGTTTTTGTGTAATTAGTAAAAACAGGTGTCCGGATACTTTTGTCCAGGGTGTGTATATATAGTATATATACCAAAAGAAAAGAAATATTTATATGATAATAATAAACAATTTTTTCTTTTCTTTTCAATTATAAATATAATAATTAAAAGATTAATACAATTAATAATACAAATAAATCTTTTTAAATAATAACATACACAACATATTTATATCTGGATACCCATTTACATTAATTGTCACAAAAGAAAGTAATAGTAATTTTTAAAAAGATTCAAATAAAATATTTTTCCACTATAATACATCAATTCACTCATGCCAAAATTGAATTAAAACTTTATATTTTTTAGTGATTTTTATCATCATTGACTTAATGATGGTAATTAAATAGCAAATTTTTAGTTATGTTACAGTCAACCCTCCATAAATACACCCCCCCTTGAGACCGTGCACTTATAGAACAAAGTATTTTATTGGTTGCACATGACATTAATGAAAAATTAAAAAAAAATTTTTATTATAAAAATTAAATGTCAATGTTCCTTCAAAAACTCCTAACCCAGTTGCGATTTGCTTGACCTTTTCAACTAAAATAGCATCCCTTAAGATTGCTTTGTGTTGGTAAACTAAAACAAATTCCTTAAAAGCCAACTCAAGTTCAGGGACAATCACAGATTTGTCTTTTTGCTTCTGGATTGGTAATTCCAGTGCTAAGTATTTCTCTGCTTTTTTGTATAGTTCTAGTTATTGTCGATTCATGAACTGTAACTCCCATTTTTGTTCAATCCATGCAACATATTCTTTTCTGGTCAATTTATTATTTTCAACAAATAAGCAAAATTCATATTTTTGGTATCAGATAAAGTTATTTTACTTGAAGACATTTATTTTTATTTGGAAGTTATAAAAGAATATGAATTATAGTGAACAATGGTTCAATAATGTTAATTTAACTTATTGATAATAATGAATTAGAAGATTGATATATAATAACTGGGTATTTTTATTTTTTAAAGTAATTAGATTTTAGTTATTAAAATTCTTAATTTTATCTGTTATGATCCCTCCTTTACCTTTATATATAATAATCTCAACTATAAAAAATATAAGAGCTTTGTCTGCTGGATTCTTATTCTGTTATTCTAATAATTCTCTATATCTATTAAAAAGAAAGAATTCTTTATTTACTTGAATTAATAAAATGTCATTATTAGTGTACATGTAACATGGAATTATATTGCAGTGCGGTCACGTGAAAGTCATGGATGCACTTAGAGATGATGGTTTTATATAAATGGTACCAGGAAAAGACCGTGCAGTGCAGAATATAGAGGGAGTGCACTTATCTCTAAGTCCCGAGCTTGGGACTGGAACACGGGGTGCATTTATAGAGGGTGCACTTATGGAGGGTTGACTGAGTTACCAGAATTAGACGATGACGAAGATAATTTGGCCGAATCCTTTAATTTCGGGTCAAATTAAATTTTATTTCTATTTTATTAAATTTATTCTTTCATTATTTTTATTTTTATTATTTTATTTATTTATTAATGTGTATAATTATTATTATCTGAATTCGTAGCACATTCATATTTATTTAACTTTATTTAGTAGAGATTAATGACGATTATCCCAGACTGGGCGGAACCGCCAAAGTACAAAGTGGGCAGATTCGCCCAATCTGGGCGGAATTGCCCAATTCGGGCTAATATGTAAAGAACATGTATATAAAGAACTTGATTTCGACCTAATGTAAAAGTAACTTTGTCATAAGTTGATTAGTTTCGACTAAATAAATAAAATAGTAATATTTTATTTAAATAAACTTTTATCTTCTTTAACCAAAATTATTCGCTAATACCAAAATCAATTCGTTGATCCCTATTCATTCTGATTCACACAAAATAAAAATAATTGTTATCACCAATTAAAAAAACGCTTTCCCCAAATTTAATCGGTGACAACTGTATTTATTATTCATTTATTCAGGAAAGAATACTTGAAGAGAAAAAATAAATCATGAGTATTATTAATGAGACTTGATATATTTTGGGATAGCATCAGCTTGAAGCGAAGCTAGACAACCACACAGTGAATCTCTGTTTAATGGATAGTTTGGGCAAAATGGTCACGCGAAAACTGCCATGTAGTTTTGCTCCTCGAATTTAGAAACACAAGACATGGTCAAAAATTTTGGCATGGCCAATATTTATGGATGTTGTGGACCCACCAAGAAAAATTTAGATCTTTTAGATGTACATCTCGTGATATTAATATGCATATTACTGAAACACAAGTTCGTGGGCGTTGGAACCTATCAATTTTGTGTAATGAATCAAGGTTTCAAAAACAGGTTTTTTAAATTTTGTTTGCGAGTACAAACTTTATTAATATTTTGGGAGAATAAAATAATTGAATTAAACAATCAAAATCTGTTTTATAATGTCATCATTATTTGTGCCTTAATCTTATTGTTTGTGCCAACAAAACATGGCAAGCACTGGATTTCCATTTGTTATTTAATTATATTAAAAAAATCCTTTTTCATTTTTATGTAAATACTAAAATTTATTCTTCGCCAATTTTATTATATATATGAAATCTTTACGTTTATGGTTTAATCTTACATATTTGGTCTGAGGGGTGGTTTGTTTACGATCCCTAATTGATTATCTAGAAATCGTTTTTTTTTTGAAGATTGCTTTTATTTTTATTTTAAAGGCGATGTGGTACACATGCATTATGAATTAAGTCTAATCGAGACTTTTTTGTTCTTTGAGGATTCTTTATTAACCTGTGAAATCTGACCAGTTATTAATGTCAACTAACTATAACCAATATAAATAATTTAATTTATGGACACCGATTTCAAGGACTCAGATAATTGGTGTATAATACAGCAATAGTAATAGCTTCACTATTACACATGTTGGGGGTCTAGATTGCTGTTTATTTTTGGGAGAATTTCTCACGGTTGCATTTAAAGTTTTTATTATTATATATATATATATGTAATAAATATATAAATTTTTGATCAAATAATTTTTTTCCTTCATATATATCTTTCTCCTCTTCATTTTTCTTTTCTTAATAATAATAATAATAATAAAATATGGGTATTAAAATCTCTAGACCAAAAATTACAAGAAAAAAATCAGAACTTTATCGTTCATCGTCAATATCATCATCATTTATTTCCAAAAGTAATACAAAAAACAATAAAATTAATAATAGCAAGACAAAGTTTTTTGGTCGTATCCACGACAACGATAACGAAAATTATATTAATGAGCATCTCATTGGAAAAAATTATTATATAAAACCATTAAATATTTATCAAGATACTCGTAGTTTAATTGATAGTAAAAGAATTAATATAATAACATTGGATGAAAATAGTGTTAGTGATATTGTTGTTAGGAGTGATGATTTTGAAAATAAAGATTATGGTTTACACGAAATTATTAAAGAAACATGGTCAAATAATTTTTCTGCGCCGGTTGACGAAAAATTAATGAATGGAGGCGCGAGAGTTTTAGATTGCGGGTGAGTGTATTATTATTTTTGATTTGACCACATAAAAAATTATAATCCTTTTGATTAAAACTATATTAATATTTATTTGTGTATAGCACAGGTTCTGGAAAGTGGATTGTAGAGTTATCAGAAATTTATCCAAAGTCAACGTTTGTTGGAATAGATATTTCAACATCATCAACACCGAATGATGACGTAATACCATTAAATGCCGCCTTTTTCGAGTGTAATATAATCGATGGCCTACCATTTCCTAATGACACATTCGATTATGTCTATCAACATAATTTAATACTAGCATATACTGATATGCAATGGCATGATGTAATGACTGAATTGACAAGAGTAATAAAACCCGGAGGACATTTAGAATTGGTTGATCTTTGCTTCTCTGATAGTAAATTATCTCCAACTGGAAATAGAATTACTACTTCGAGTATGTTTTTTTTTATGTACATGTTATATAAAGATTAAAATTAAACATTTTTTTTCCATTCATTTAATATTATTATTTTTTTTTTTTTGCTCTTTGATATCAATATAATAACAAATAGTCGCGAATTATTTTAAAAGTGTTGACCTTTCACTTGATATTGTTTTGAAATTACCTCGATATTTTGAAAAATCAAAAGAATTTGATTTGATCAATGTATTGGAAAAACCAATCGAAATAGGCTCTTGGGGAGGCGAAAATGGAGAAAAAGTAGCAGAATGTTTAATATCTACATGGATAGCATTTAAAAGCATTCTAAAAACACTTTTGAATGTTGACGACAAAGGCTTCGACCAATTGATTAATCAATTTTATAACGATACTCGAGATGTAAATAATCATATGATTTGTAAAAGTATACGAATTTATGGTAGAAAGAAATTCACATAATTACTTTTTATCTGTTAGATTTTCATTATTGTAATATTATATAAATAGTTTACACACATACGTGTATGTATGTACACGTATTTTATAATTTATTTGTATTTTTGTAAAATATTTTTTTATCAAACAATTTTTCATTCATGTAATTATTAGTAATGTTAAAAAAGGATAGTAAATAATAAATAATTAGAAATTTTATTAAATAGTACATTATGCGATTATAATTTTTTTTTTTAAAAAAATATTAATATACAAAATACTAAAAGAACAATTATTATTAATATTAATATATTAATAATTGACAATATATCACAAACAATTATCTTGTCATATGTGTTAATTCCAATTTTTCGAAATGTTTTCTTGCTACACTTATATTCATTTGCGTTGCTGCAGATTCTAAAAAAATGTCATCATCATCATCATCATTATTAAGCAAATTAAGAAAGTGAATTTAAAACTTTAAATAAATAAAAAAAAAAACTTACCAACACTTGGATCAGACATAATAACCATCACATAAGTATTTGTTGTTAAAACATCAAAAAAAGCTGCAAAATTGGCTTGCCGTATTTCCATACTTTTAAATTGTGCTAAAGATTTACTGTAATATGATATTGATTGAATTATATATATTAGCGTTAAAAATCAATCGATTAAAGGATTACTTTACTAGCTGGTTAATTGGCTGACTTGATGACTAAACTGACCTACAACTTAATTTAAATTGTTTCATATAATTACTGATCTTTTCAAATCTATGTAAATCTGGATGATAAATCCTTGACGAGTGAGAAATTACCAAGAATGTAGTCTTTTCAAATAATACAACTTCGTCTGCTTCACAAATAGTTCCAAAATTTTGTAAATGTGTTTCCAATAATTTTATATTCGGAATTAAAGAATGAACTATAGAAGACCATGCCTATATATAATTAATGAAATGAGTATACATATTATATATATATGCATAATTTAATAAATTAATTGATTAATTTTACTTTGTAAAGTGTTTCATCCCATATCGATGTACCAAACGCATTGATCTTTAATGGTTCTGATCGCGTTTTAAGCTCGTTGAATCTGTCGGTGTAAATCTTTTTTTTAAAAAAAAAATTAAATTATATTAAAGTTAATTGGTTTGATACATCAATTATTATTAATATTATTACATACTTTATGTCTATACTCTTCTTGCACTAGATCCATCTTATGTATTAAACAAAAAATTTTTGCATCTTTAGAATTTGCCAGTATTGCTTCAAGACAATCTTGATAATAGTGCATATCACGTTCTATTTCACGAGATTCTACATCGAACACATAAATTAACACTTCAACGTTACGAAAAATATGATCTCTTTGTGCTGCAAAATAATTTTCCATAAATGCCTCTTGACTAATTAACATTATTATTATCATCAAAAATATTAATATCGCCTCCTTATAACAATAATAATAGTAACAGCATTTATTTTTTTATAAATACTCACCCACCACAATCCCAAAGATTTAAAACTAAATTACCAAGAAATCTTACTCTAGAGTTTTCAACATCGACTATTCATAATAATAATAATAAATTAGATAATAGTAAAATTAAAATTAAAATTATTTATTTACTTGTTGCTCCTAAACGTCTTGTATCTCTGGCAACATAATTATGAAATATGATACTACGCATCGAAGTCTTTCCTGACCCACTTTTTCCCATTAAAAGCACCTAATTATTATATATACATACACGTGTAAATTTTAAATATGAAAATTATTATTTACAATTTTAAAAAGCGAAATTAAAGTATATATATATATTAATTAAGAATAACCTTTTTGTTCATTTTTTCAATTTTTTGTAAATAAAGTGTTGAAAGTGATCTGCATAGATTTTAAATAATAAATATATTAATTAATAAAGTAATAGATTATCAAGGATCTACTATTCTTCAAAAACCAAGTATATAAGGAAACTCTATTTGAAATGTGGCTGCCAACACTATGATTCGAAAGTTACTTTTAAAAAAAAAAATGTGACTATGACCGCCTCACCATAGATTCGATTAATAGAAAATGGAAAAGGTCACCGGCCTTTATTATGGGAAAAATGACCTGATTTCACAAATATAGAGCTGTTATCGGTTACATTATAATTCACATTATTAATAAAAAAATTTATCTTGTTTATTTTTGGTATTTGGTCATACCAAATAAAGAATTCCCTATTCACTACACTACATACCCTCCCTAACTTGTCAATGCTAAAAAAGTTATTTGCAAATGTGGCCAAATTCAAGTTACAAATCAATCAATTCTAACAGGTATTTAATAAGACAACTTAAAATTAACTAATTGATATTCCAAATAAATATTAACCCTAATTTATTCCATTTAGGTCTTTGAAAATCTCCTGTTATTTTTGAGAATAATAATAGGATATTGAGATCATTTATTATATGGGGCGTACTGCAACAAAAAGTGAACATTTGTATTACCAAAAATCTCAGGGATCAAAATTTAGTTATTATCATCACAATTGATTTGTTAAGTAATATATAGAACTATCCCAATATAAAATAGTTAATATGAAGCTCATTACCAAGGATTATGTTTAACATCACATAATGGTGATGATGATGATGATGGTAAGAAATTAGCCATTATATAGGATTGGCACCAGAAATTTGTAGTGGCAGTTAGTAAACATTTAGAATCATAAAGACAAAGATGATAAATTTTGTTTAATTCTTATTGAACCAAGAATCCTTCGTCTTTCTTCCTTTCTTATTATCATTCTTATATGCGCATATAAAATAATCTATTACAAATGTATCAGATTTTATTATAAGACAAAATTGACAAAAATTTATTAACAATGATATAAAATTAATAATAATTAACAAAAAATTAACACGATTTCATTATTATTTTAAACTCCAATGATAATCTAAATGCTGTTTTAATGCTGGCATATTTTTAAAATACTCTTTATCACATAAATGACAATTTAATGGTGCCTTTAAAAGATTCTCATAATACGCTTTATCAATCTATATGGAGTTTATCAATTTGATTAATAATAGTTTTGTTAATTTAAAATAATAAATATGATAGTTGCCTTAATCATATTCCCTTTTTCCAAATAGTTTATAATTTCATCGATATCTATGAAAAATCCAGTAGTAAATGAATTCCAATGCTTTTTATTCTTTAATGATGAAGATATTAAATCTTGAGAGATTACATGCATGTGAAGATGTCTATTGTTTGATAATCGAGGATAAAATATTAATTAAAAATATATAAGTGAATAATAAATGATAATTGATTACCTCATGCTAGTAACTGCATGAAATCCCATACGAAAATCAAGTTTTGGATCTTCTTTTTTTAATCTAATAATAATAATAATAATAATAATAATAATAATAATAATAATAATAATAATAATAACAACAGCAACAACAATAATGATAGTAAATCGATATTTCATATTTCTTTTCTCTTTCTCACTAGTGTTCTTTCATCCTATCCTCCTCCTTACCATTACCCACACCTATCGCTCTTACCTATCAACAACCCATTCTCCTTTTTGTTTCATTTTTTTTATCAACTCTAAATCATGCTCCAATAGATCCTCAATTCCATCAATATCAAATCTTGGCATAATCAAAAGATGTTTTTTACCTTTTGGATATTTATCCCAAATAACAACCAAATCGTCATCATAACTATAAACTTCTTGTTCAGGATAAATTTGTGGATTTATTGTATAAGGTATCAAGCCATCTTGCCATGATGAAGCAACTTTATTGGAATCTTTGATTCTCTTCCTAAAAACTTTTGGTTTTGCTGCTGTTGACACATCTGCTTTTTCACACGTAGCCGTCACGTCATCTATTTAAAATGATTATAGTAGCGCGCATATATATATATATATATTATAGGATACATATATTATTCTTTATAAAGGCTTACATTGAGTAACTTTAGGGTTTGGTCGTTTTAGTTGAATATATTTTCGATTATTTTTTAGATCCCAAAAAGCAGTTAACATTGATTTATAAGATTCTTTTAATAGTCTTTTAGCATCCTCCAACTCTAATGGATCAGTTTTATAACAACTCATATTAGGCGAGACAACACAAATTAACTAATATTAACACATTTATATAATATGTAATTAATTAATCGCTTGATCACGAAAAAAAGGTGAAAAATAAATTATCCAATATTTAATTAATTAAGAACCTGTTCAACGCCTTGAGTTTTATGCAAGTCAGTATTTATTGGAATGGGAACTGGATACACTTCACCAACCTTTGATATATTGTCACATATAAATAAATATTTTTTCATAATATATATAGCATACACAATAAAGATAATAAAGTCAATAAAGTCAATAAAGACGGTAATATATACCACACCAGGATTTGGATATAATTTTTTAATTTCTTGAGAAAATTCTTTGCCTAATTGTTGAATCAACCATTTTCCCAACGATGTCACTTCTAATAATATGTTATTATTTAGTTAACTAATATAAAAAAAACATCCACAAGTATATAAATATATAATACCAAGTTTTAATCTCCATGTTACTTCAATAGCGATATATCTGTATGTATACAAAATAATTATAATAGAATATAATAAATATTATTTGAATCCAAAAATAAATATTGTATCGATAAATAATTCGTACCTAATTTTATTTGAATTTGTCAAATTGCCTTGAATCATTTTAAATCTTTGATATTTCAAATTTTGTTGTGGATCACAAATAATTTTCCATTGCTATTTTTTTTTTTTTTTTTTAAATTTACATAGAAAATTACATCGTACATAATTTAAAAAAATTTATTGATTATACTAACGGATTCGTATTTTCGTATATAGTCTTCATTATCATCAAAAAGCATCAACTCGTAATCATCATCATCGTCATTGATATTACTACTGCTGCTACTTTCTTCCCCTTTTTTTTTTTGATGTTCATCTAAAAACTCCTTAATCGCCTATACAATATATTAGAATGGCGATCCGGATACTTTGCAACAGCGAAACACATAATAATAATATAATCTAATATTTACCTCGCAAGCAATAATTGATGCTTCATTGATTGGTACTTTATTAAGACCTGTAGATAATGATGGAAATCCAAATCTAACTACACTGTTCATCATTTTCTTTGGTTCCTTTTCTTCTACTTCTGCTAATAACTTTTTTTTTTTTCCTTTTCTTTCTACTTCTGCTTCTACTTCTTCTTCCTATTATTATCATATATTGAATAAAATGAAATATAGCATTTCTAATATTTTTAAAATCAAAATACCTTTTTTCTTAGTTTTTTCTCTCTGATTTCCGAAGTATGGTCACTCATTATTTATATTATAATCAGTATTATCATCCATTCACAAAGATAAAAAAATTCGTTAAAATTATCGCGATTTAAAATTTGATACTCGAATTTTTATTGGTTGAATATATATTATTAGTACATACATATATATCATCTTACATCTTACCAAAAAAATATATTTTAATTTTTCTTTACTAATTTATAGACTTCATATTCTTCTAACAAATGCACGCTCTTCTTATTATTCATAAGAGTCAAATTATCTTCATAAGTATTCCAATAAAAATAATAACAATAAGGCTCATTATCAATGCTATTGCATAACGCTATATCATAAAAATCTATACACTTTTCATTAAATTTTATATTATCTGTTGTAGTAAAGTCAAAATTCTCACAATAATGAATTATTGCACAATCAGGATCCTTTACTCTACTTATTATTGAATTATCCATCTGATTTTCATCAATATTGAAAATAAAACTTTTATTTGTTTTAATCCTATAATATTCATGTGGCAGCCTTCCTTTTATATTCCAACAAACTGGATTATAGCCGCCTACTAGCTCGCCTGTTTCTTTAATTTTCATTATAATAATTGTTTGTTTGATGTTAAAACATTTATTATCAAATACTGATCTTGAAAACCCATCCCAAGATCCACGAAGAATTAATTGAAAATCATATGATGAATTGGTTTCATTATTAAATTGTTCATTTGTTTTATCAATCCAGCTTGAAATTAAAAGTTTTATTTGCAAATTTATTAACTTTCTTTTTGATTTTCTTGAACCTTTTTGAATTAAATTTGGTTGCCATTTGCTACTAAGATAATGTTGGAGAGCTTCTTCATATATTTCTTTGACAATAATTTCTTTATATGGGTTGATTTTATTGCAAAAATCAAATAAAGTGATTTCATAAAATCTTATTGATGGAATAATGTCACATAATACATTTTTCAACTCAACTAGATCACTTTTAGTCAAATCTGAAATTTTTTTATTATCAAAATATTCAATTTGTCCCAATCCCCATTCAATGGCATAATCCCAAATGTTAATTTCATCCAGTTCTAAATCATCTCTTTTCAATATTGATATAAGCATAGATTTCTCAATTGCTGGAATGTTAACAGGTTTTAAATATAATTCTGGATTTTTACAAATCAATTCACCACAATAATCTTGAAGCAAGTTAAATGATTGATGTCTTGATGCAATATTATCAATGTGAATTAAATTTTCTTGAACCCAATCTTTTTTTTCAATGATTAAATAATATTGTAAATCCTCAATTAATTCATTAAAATCTAATTCATCAGATGCTTCAAGAAGTTCAAGAATTTCATATACATCTAGATTATTTATGTTTATAATTCCATTGTAAATATATCTTAAAAATATCAAAATATCAAAAAAAGTGTTAAATATTATTATTATTATTATTATAATCAATTAATTTATAAATCAAAACAACTAAACTTACGTTAAAATAACTTCAAACACTTTTGGAGAAATATTTTTTTTTTCAAATAAAATAATCCCCTCTTTTGATTTTTTTATCCAATTATCTGATAAAGCTATTTTAAAATATGGAGACCTTGCTTTCAAAATGGTAGAGTGTGCTTTAAAGGTTTTAAAGTTATCATCCTCTCCAACTCTAATTTCTAAATCATAAAAGTTTGATTCGTTGAACAATTGTGCTAAATCAGTTATTAACTTGCTAATATATTTTAATGGTAAAGCATCTTCATTAGAACACACACATTTGTTGAATAATGTTTTAATATTTTCTAGCGACGAAAAACCTCTATTTGACATTTTTTGATTTGATTAATTTTGTAAGAATTACCGTATTTTTTAATATTAAAAAAACAAAATATAAATAAAGATCGCCATTTTGTTCATAATAATAATAATAAATTATAATTGGTGCGGATTTTTATGTTTGTGATCTGCAAACTTTAAAAAAAAAAATTTTTATATAATACACTCACCTGCCAAAAGTATCCAGACAAAATGTAGATCATGTAAATTTCCGTGACATTTCCGTGTGTTTTACACAAAAATACTCGAAAACTAGTAAGAAAACATGACTTTTTGCCCTAAATAACTACACTTCAAACGTTCGAGTTTGCATCTTTTCATTGATATTTGTAACCTAATAAAATATAGTTTTTGGGTAATATGTAAATTCTTAAAATCGTTTAAAAATGCTGGTTCCTGAGACTTTTTTTTGTCCTATAAAATATTCCACATAATAATGAATTGTTTGAAAACTCCATAAAAGAATTTAAAGTATAACGAACAAAATAAAAAAAAAGATCATTAAAATTTGTTAGAAATTGATAGAGTTGCATGTATTGAGAAAATTTTACAAATAATTTTGGAAATCATTGTATGCTTTTCGCTCTTTCATGATCCATAGCACCACGTTCAAAATCCGTGAGTTCCCATACTTTTGTCATTTCAATAAATTCAGAACAATAATTTTTATTGTTTTTAAAAACAAACTCAAGGTTTTGTCATTAATTTTTTTACATATATAATTTTATGATTTTTGAAATTTTCTCAAAATTATTTGTAAAATTTTCTCAATACATGCAACTCTATATATCAATTTCTAACGAATTTTAATGATCTCTTTTTTATTTTGTTCGTTATACTTTAAATTCTTTTATGGAGTTTTCAAACAGTTTATTATTATGTGGAATATTTTATAGGACAAAAAAAAGTATGGCAATGTATTTATATATTATAATTTTTGTTTTAACTATTCTCTCAATATAATTAATAATATAATGTCAATATAGATCCTGAAGATTCAAACATACCAGCAAGTTCTGAGGATTTTTCTTTAAAATCGCTTCAACTATTTGTTATTGATAAATTCAAATTAAACTATTGAATTACAATTATCAGATGGTTTTTAGATACAAGCACACCAAGTATTGAAATTTTTGTATGTGAATATCTTTCCCGAAAGAAGGTAATGTTGTTTCTTTTATGGTAAGATTCCAAGTCTTCAACAGCAATTGAATATTTTAGTCCAAGTTGAAAAATTTTCCGAATTATATATCTTAAAACTCGTCAATGGTTTAATCGATCCATCAAATTTATTAAAGAGAATCAACGACAAAATTTCTAGAGAAGTATTGAAAATCAACCATCATCATATTTTATAATGAGATTAGATGATAAAAAATTGGCGATAAAGTGTCTGTTAAGGATATATTGACGATAGCAATATTGTTATGTTTAGTTAGTTTTTTATTATATTAAATTAGACAGCAACAACAACAACCGTGCACTAATTATGTTTTCTTTAATCTCTATTTTCAGCTGTATATAATAAAGTATTTTGTGATGGTGTGAAAGAGGACGAGGAGAAGCCGCTCTACTTTAAGGTCGAGAATGTACTGAGTGAGTTGTTGAACGTACTGAATGAGATGAATGAATAGAATATTTCTTGATGCCACCAGTAGTTACTACTTTTTTACATTGTGGTCTGTCATTTTCATAAATGATGGCAAAATAAGTTAGTTTCGAAAATAATTACGATTTCAACCAATTAGAATTTCAACATCCAAAATTGAAATCAAAGTTCGAAAATCGAAATCCCGATTCAAATTCTAAAATATTGTTTTTAAATTATGTCGAGCAATTTTGATTCTCGAAGTCTTATCCTAAGGGTGCTGGAAGACCTTCCGAAATTGTTTGGACACATTTTAATAATAAAAGTACAAAAGATATCCTGGCAGTATGACTCCACCTGTATATATTGTAATGATGATGAAGTCTACAGTTGATGCAAGAACATTTAGCGAATAGATGTCCAAATGCACCTATTGAAATAAAGCAATGTATCTTGAAAATACTTTACACAAGTATCAAAATGATGATTTGTTGGACGAAACAAATTCTTTGACAACTTCTAATTCTTCAAATGTTCTTGAAACAAGGACTTTGCCTAACAACAATAACCAGAAGGGTTCGAATGATTTTTATGATTCAATAAATATTACACCTCAAATTAATTTTCGATTTCGATTTTGAATTTCGATTCGAATTTCAATTTTGGATTTCGCCAATACTAAGGACCTTTCGATTTCGAAAACTTGATTTTTCGAATTTTATTAAATGACTTTCGCCACCATGTAGTAGTATGGCTACTTATTGTTAACAAATAACAATTAATTATTATTATGTACCTTGAATTTGGGTGGTAGTGATGTGACAACCACAACATTCCTTGAAGGTCAAAAACAACCATTAACTAAAATTGAGATTATTTGATTTGGTAGAAACAGATAAGAAGAGCTGTATCAAATTAATAAAGAAGAAATTTCTCTCGAATTTCATATTTAGCAAAAGCAAAAGTTTTCTTCATCTATTAAAGTTCGGTTTATCAAATTATATTAAATTCGGCTTAAACAAGATAATTTTATCAATTATGTTTTTGTTAACCCAGTTTTGCATCGTTATAAAGCGAAAATCTGTTCGGCTTATCGAGGTTTGACTGTTGCGGATTTTTTTATGGATACACTTTTTTTCTAAAAAAAAGTGCAAAACTTATTATATGGAACGGTTTTATTAGAAATCTCAATTGCTAAGGCTTTGGAAAATCGTTCTATTCGTGAAAATACCTGAGGTTTTTAGTCGAGGGGAGTTTTTAGAATAGTGCTCATGTATATATATTTTTTTTTTTGGAAGCTTGCAATAGATAAAAGTATTACGATAAAGAAAGAAATTTTCTGTATTTCATATGGGGTTTTTTACGCCATTGGTATTTTTACATCTATCAAAGCTTTCCATAGCTCTAAACTACAATATATACTATATTTCATGCAAATTTGGTACCCATATCTTTGAAAACGGAAGAGGAGCAGTGATTTGAAAATAGTATGTTTTATCAACGTTTTTACTAGTATTACAACTTTCAATTGCTAAGGCTGTTGGAAAATCATCGCATTTATAAAATTATTAGAGGTTTTTGATTAGGAGAACAGTGCTATGGAGCGAGAGAATCTTTATTTCATACAATTTTTT